TTGCCAGCCCCCTGCTCCCTGCTCCACTGAATGCTCTCCAGCCAGGCTTCATACCCTTCCCAGGCTGCATTTGCACTTCAGTCACAGCAGCAAGCTAGATCCCAGGGAGATCCTTCTTTACAACAGTGGCAGAGCTGGATCTGGTCCCATGGCAGTACGTGGCCCGTTGGGTCAGGCAGCATCACACCAGGCCAGATGCTTAAAATCAGGCTCCTTCAGCTCCAGGCCTCCATCAGGGGAGCCTGCACTGCAGGCTGCAATGCAGCACCATAGCCTTCCTGTCCTCTACCCTGATGCACTGGGGCAGCAGATCACATCCTACAGGCAAAATGAGGCACTTGCTGCACTCAGATCTTTAAGGTTGCCAAAAAAACATTTTTCAGGAGAACCAGAGGTTTTATGAATTACTATTCTTTCCCAGGTTTAAGGAAAGAATGTGAATCTAGAGTTTCCATGTTGGTATGGATAGCAGGTATTCAGTCTCATATCCCAGCTCGAACACAGGTAGCATTTTGGAGAGAAAAGGCAGAGCAGGGAAAGAATGAATCATCTTAGTATAGTAGACAGAGGACAGTGCAAAAGTGATTTTCTGATCACTGCAGTTCAGCAATGGGTACCCAATCAATGAGCTTTAAATACCTTTCTCACAAATCACCTACCGCACATTCCCACTGATGTATTCCCAGATAATGAAACGTCCCTTAGAAACTGAAATCCAGCCACAATTTACATTTCAAGTGCTTCAAACCACTAGAGTCAAGATATGGCTGACTCATTGTCTTTAACAAATTGCCAACCTGGGGGAAGGTACTTCTACAGCCCCCTGTGCTCAGGGGAGAACATACGAGCTCTGCTAAATGGAAAATAATGTCATGCTGGTCAGTCTACCCTTCACACTCATTTAACCAGGCATGATGCTGTCAACAGCAGTAGCAACACACTACTTTAAAGCAAGTGTAATTTAGCAGAGGGTCATGTCTACTTTCTTCCTTAAAGGACCTTTAAAAAAGGCAATCTATGAGACCTTCCTATTCAGGTCATCCCCAAGTCACGCTCTGCAACACAGTTGTAGAGGAAAACGTAGAGTGTGTTCACTTTAGAGTGTGATGATAAAAGAATATCTGGTAGCCAGGGAGGAATTTCAAGGGATGAGAGTAGTCCTTACAGCCCCTGTGGGGGTCTAACATTACACACTGCTCAGCTGGGTAAGTTATTAATTTGCTTCAGTGAAGATCTGCATCCTGTCTATTGCCAATTTCATACCCAGTTTGGGTGCTTCATTTTTCCTGCTCTCATAAGGAGGTGATTTCTGTAAAGAATCATGCTATCATCTGAGAATCTCAGCTTTCAGGGAAGAACAAAAATCTGCCTCTTAGTCTCCTGTTTGCAGAATTCAGATTTTTTCAGTTACATGCTTTTAGAGGGCAGTCTGCTAGCTTTCTGTCAGAATTAAAGAAGCAGCAAGGAGTTGTTTTATAACCTAGTGGCTCAGCAAAACTTTGTGGAGTTATACTAATATACTCTTACACTAATCATGTGAACGAATTTGTGTTTTAGCACTGATGCATTCTACAAAGGTCCTGTCTGAAAATGATCAGTGGTGTCCCTGATACCCGGACTCACTAGGGGCTCAGCCTTGCCACTACGTGTGGGACCGGATGCATTTATTCCATGGTAAGTATTTTCAGTAGCTAAAGGGCACAGCTGGCCTTGTGACCAAGTGCCTCAATCTGCCTGCAGAACGCAGACATCTCTGCATACAATCAGTTTTCTTTGCAAAGGGGCTCACATACTCCATATGCCTTTTTAGTCTAATAGCAGCAAGTTACATGCACCATCCAGCAAATGTCTGGCTCTTCCTACTACTTATCAGCAGAAGGTATTACCGCAGTCTTCTTAGAGAGAGCATTGAGTTGCCTGTTCTAAGCGCTGGTGCTTAGTGCTTTCTCTGCCCGGAAAAAGATCAAGATTAAGAACTTTCTCTATGCTGCAATTTATTCCTGTTTTACTTTCTTCACATTAAAACTGCATTCAGTCTTGCTTATAACGATGTTTAAGAAACCTCTCCCTTCCTTCCCAACTGGAAGCAAAGGCAGCCAAAGACTTCTAATTCTCTAACACAGATGGACAAACTGGTCCCCAGGTTGTGCCAGTGATGGCATTTATTCACAGAGCATGCCAGGTTTGTGACCAAAAAGCATGAAGTTTGGCCCTGCCTAGTTTTCATGGAGCATGGAGGGATACTCCTGGCCTGAAAAGCAAATAGAGCTATGGGTGCCTCAGAGCATCCCAGCCTTAGCACACCCACTGCAGGCAAAATTAGTCAGAGGTGCACAGTATTAATTCTACTCCTTATTCATGTGCACCAGGATGCTGCCTGTAATTAAATTAGCATAAGCTATCTCTTTGATGCTCTGATTTAATATTATAGACTTGGGGGTTTATACCAGTAACTGGATAAAAAAGTGATACATCTCAGAGTCATTTTTGCATTCATTTCTTTGTACACTCACTGTTTCTACTGTCTCAATGGTCTAGTCTGTTTTTCCCAGCTGGGACGTATTACAGAATAAGTCAATGTTTGCTTCTCAAAAGCAGGGTACTAACTGCCACAGCATCTTATTCACAGAGTCTTATTCAATACGCAATGCACAGGGCAGGGATAGATGATGCTGTCTCACTAGTATAAGGAGCTCCCCTGCATTCTCGTTGGGTAGGATTCGGTTCAGATCTCCTAGGCGCGAAGTCTCCAAACAACTCTGATTTGCCTGGCCAGTACTTCATGTCCAACACATGTCCGCTGTCACCTCCAGGTCTCCCTCCTTACCAGGTTTGTCATTCACCTCAAAACCCATTCTGGATCCTCCGGTTCCTACCAGCTCTTTCATTTCAAACTAGACGCCGTAAAGGAACTGTGTTCTCCCTCTCTTTAAAAAGGTTTTGCTGTGAGGTGATGACTCCAAGGATTTTTCCCACTGGTTCTTTTTTTTCCTGTTTGTCAGAAAACAAGGAACCAAACTATGGTTTTGCCATAGGTGGGTTTTGTGCTTCCATTCAGCATTTGCATGTTTCTGACCTGAATTAATTACTTTTAATTAATTCTTGTTGATTTTTTCATGTCAATAAATACACTGAATGCAAAACATCCTCATAGCAACTATTTCTAGCTCTACAGCAGATTAAAACTGCATTTATGGATGTTTCAAACCGGAAAAATCATGCATCTGCAGTACAATTTTTAATGCCAGACAGACTGCTATTAATGGTGGGCTGGCTTGTATTAAAAACCCTATAATTATGAGATGTAGTTTTAACTGCTTGATCTTAGCAGCCTAAAGGTCACTTGCCTTATTCTTTAAAAGGTAATGGGAATGTGCTCTAGTCCAGGGTTATTATCAGGTTAGTTTTGTTTCTGCTAGTTTTCTGGTGCCAGTGAGTGTCTTCTCTTGATTCAACTTGATCTTTTCTGGATTCTTACAATTCTTTCACCTTAACTTGGGATCCCATCCTCTTCTGCTGTAGGTCTAACTGGGCCCTCGACTGATGAAGACTAACCTGCGATCTAGTGACTAAGAACCCTCACATACACAGAGTATTGTCATCCAGTCATTAAAACAAATTCTTGTGACAAAAAGGCAATTTTAGAAGAATAACCTGCCTGCATGCATATCTGATACAATTTAAAGCTACCTTCCCTTTGAGATCTGTCAGATAGGCTTTCCCCTCCAATGGTGGGAATAAACAGAGCCAGAATGCCCTTACAGAAAAGCCTCCTACTGTTTTGGAGACCTTTCCCACTTATCCAGATCTGCTGTGGACTCACATATGCACAGCAGCACATCATTATACCTATTGCATGATAACTTTGTATCTTCAGGCTCACAAGGCCCATCTCCAGAGTTCTTGTGCCCTGGGAGAATATCTACTCCTAGCTGTCTCCACACGTTGCTTGGAGCTCAGAATAAGCCTTGCAGAACTTGAAAGGCCCAGAAAATGTGTTAGAAAAAAACTCAAACCAGAAGAGAAAGCTAGCGTGATTCTGCAGGACTGGAGCTGGCATTTGAAGGATCAAGGACTGAGGGGTGCACATAGGGCTTTGCAGAGCTCCAGGGCAGGAAGGAAAAAGTCTTTATCTTTTGGCATGGGAAAAGATAGATGTGCCAGCTCTTCTTAACGTGACTAACACAGCTCAGGAGTAAGAGTACAAGCAGAGGAGGGTAAGCCCCGCCTTGGAGCCATCTTCCATCCCAGGACAGGAGTGACAGGACAGAGCAGGCTAAACTGATACAGTGAGGTTATTCCCTGGGCAAGGCTGTTTCCTGGGTCCAGCCCACACTTTGACAGTGCCAACATCCCTTGCTAGAGCGCTAGAGTCACATAATCTCCATCTTTCAATCCACATCAACCTCAACAAGCTGGACAGGCATTACTCTGTCCTCTCCAGACGGAAGCAGAGTGCCATGTACTTAGGCAATGATCCTAAGGTCCATATGACTTTATAATTAGGTCTGGTAGGAGTCAAGGTTTATTTTTATTGAGAGCTGACAGTTAAAATCAACATTAATTTCTAGTCGCCAGCATTTACTGCCAGTTACAATTTCTGTTCAGTGCCCCTCTCCTCACCCCTCGGCCGGGGTCCACAGAACCTCCTCCTTGACTACTGGCATCTCCTTTGCTCTCAGCTTGGGTCACTCTCAGAATCTGAAGTCGATAAGACATCACAATCAATGCTCCAGGAGCAAGAAGCAGCACAAAAAAACAGTATCCAGCCATACTTGGCAATTAAGCACTGAATCCTGCTAAGCCCCCTTGTGGCTACGCTGAGACTTCATTATAAAATAGGTTTACAGCTTTTGGAGGGAAGACCCTGTGAGGAAGGACAAGGCAGCTGAGTATGTGTCTCAGTCAGGTTGCCCATAGTACCACAATTAACAATGCTTTCAAGGTGCATATTCCTGGTTTCATAAGGGGCTGGTTATCCTAAATAAAGGTTGTCTTACCTATTGCTTCCTGTCCAGGAGGAATTTGTGTCACTGACTCACTGGTGGCTGCAAGGCAACTGCACGATGGAGTGTTGCAAAAACGGCAAACTTTGTGCCTGTGAAAGGAATAATAAAAGGCCTCTTTAAACAGTGCAGTTCTGAAAAGGGGCTATTTTTTAAGCAAGGCCAGAGCACAGGCACCTGTCTCCTGTCACCTCAGCTCTGCAGCAGAAGCAGGGCAATGCCATCTGACTAGCAAGCAGCGAGAAACGCTTAACACTATGAGACATCTCTAACATCCCATGCGCTGCAAGGCGTGCAGGTACAATTACTCATGGCCTTCAGTGAAGGAACTGCAAAAGTATCAGTGCCCAGGGTTATTTGCTTTGCCAGGTGGAAACCTTGTTCTCATCCCCCTGTGACAACACCCAAAGACAGTAACATCAGCAGATGTTTCTGCCCCAGGTGGCAAGCCCTTTTAAATTGCCTTGCCATAATCCAGATGAGAGGTTAAAAGAAATACGTATTCTCACAGCTAGCTTATATTAGTAGACAGGGGATGCAGTTTGTTAGTTAATATCAGAACTGGCTTATGGTGCTACCAGATTGCGGATGCCAAAGTCTGGGTCAGCCCACAGTTACGCTAGCATTTTTAATCCAGTTGCACTCAAAATTTGATTAAGGGCAATGGGTGTATAGTTTGAGTGAATCAGTATGTATTTGAAACATTTTTTAAATATGAATAGTTGAGAACTTTCTAAATGATATAGGTACTTCGGAATTGATAACACAACGTTACTCACAAAGGAAGACTGGTGAAGGTTCAAGGTGGAAAGCGTTGCCCTAAGAGAAGGAGAGGTCTTAATGCCACTCAGGTCTTGGCTAGTCACTTGAACATGGCTTTATCTACTTCAATTAGCTCTAATGATGTGCTCAAGATGACAGAGAGAAGCCTTGTCTGCTTGTCAAGTAAGTCAGCGGAGAAAGACAAGGCAATAACCACCAACCCTACTGATATCCATACCTATCGATAAGTCGATAACAGTCAACACCTATTAATACCTATCAATAGATATGGAAATCAATAAGCATCAATACCTCTCAATATTGACCTGGATCAATGTTCAATAGGCTTGGATGCCTACCAAGAGCAAAACAAGTCTGGAGACTGAAAGCTGTCAAGAACAAAAGGTATCAACACCTATCAATAGGCATCAATATCAAGAAGGACACTTCAAGTCACAAGTATGCTGAATCATTTCTGGGGTTGCCGATTTCTCCATTGACTAGAAAGCAAACACAGGTTAGTAGCTCCAGTGGCTCGGTTCAGTAGGACAAACAGACAGTTTGATGTTTCTTAGCTGCTACTTCTGCTTCTCAGGAGTTGTACACCTACTGACTCAGAAATCTTTCAGCAAAATTTTTGAGCTTGGTTTTGTTTTCTTAACTGAGAAATTCCACTTCTTTGACATTCAATCTGTACATAGGAGAGAGCAAGGTTTGATCAGTTTCATATCAAAAGAGTACTTTAACACTGTTTCAAAAATTGTCAGAATGCCTTGGTTTGACAATTTCTAAATGGAAAATTACCAACTTCTAAATAAAAAAATTTTTTTTGCTTAAAAACTAATCCTACCAGTTAAATTCAGTTAGAAATGTCATTATTTACATAACATTTTCTGAAACAATGAACATGAAATGTTTTGATTCGTGTCACTTTTTTCAGCACAATAACTTTTACAGGTTTTTGGTTAGCAACGCTTCTCACGGCCTTATCTTCTCATCCCAGTTCAAAACTGACAGAAAAGAATAACCCTGTCAAATATTTTCAAAAGACAGAAAATGAAGATTTCCTGTCCACCCCTTGCTTTGGCCAGCTCTGAAATTACAGTGATTGCTGCAGTATTGTGCTCATGTGCTTCTTAAAATAGCGCAGGCTTCTGAAGGGAAAATTGGAAGGACAATTCTATAGTTGACTTAATTAAATAAAAAGAATATTTGGGCAAATAGAAAAGAATTCTTCCCAGACCCTGACCTGATCAAGCTGTGCTCAGAAATGTGCAATTTGATTATCCTTATTTTAGCAAAATGACTGTCAGTCCTTGTGATTCAACAGGAAGATGTGCTATTAACAAGTCAGCTATTCATAGTGCAGATGTCAATAATTCTGAGTATTTAATCACAGCTTACTTCGATTTGTCCACAACTCAGACAAACGAGCTGGCTGTGCCAAGGTTAATGGAAGCGTATGGAGTTGGTCTGGAGTTTTTGCTCCAGCAATGCTAGCAAACACAGAGCCCTGTGGAGCAGGCTTAGCCGGCCCCAGGCGACAGCCAAGCAATAAGCTGAATGAAGGTCCTCCCTGCGTGGCTCAGGCACTGACCATCTCGTTAACACCCACGAGGTGTCATGTTTGCCTGGTGCCTGCTATGGGTTCTAGGGCATCCAGGCTAGAAAAAGGAGGAGGTCTGCAGTCACAGTGGCCTGGTCACCTTTTTTGAAGGCAGGACAAAGAAGACTCATGCCTGTGGGATTTTCTCATTCTCCTTACCGTTACCCTACAAAAAACAATTTTCCTATATTCAGTTTGCATCATTTAAACACATTCAGTGGCGTTCTCTGCAGGGCGCAGTTTAGTGAAGTCCCTGTTTTCAAAGCTGTTACTGTGCTGCACCTCGTCAGATGCAACACATTTGCACTAAAGGTGGTAACTTGTGACGAACACAGCAAAGACTCTGTGTAAGGTCCTGAGCTGAAACATGAAAGGAGAGAAAAGAGCATGTGCTCTGAGCCTGCACTCTCTGCCATTTCAAAATAACATTTGGTCGTCTTAGCCAAAACACCTGCGGCTGCAATCTCACCAGAGGTGTGTTAGCTCTCTCCCTCCATCCCTCCAGTCACTGTAGCATGGTGGAGTCACTGTTCCCTGACTGGAGACCTCTAAGAAAACCTGTAGGAAATGTCATTGAAGCAACAAGTGCTGTTCTTTACCTTGAATCAATACTTAACCACCACATCCGCGTGGGGCTAGCAAGTGTTGGGGGTTGCTGGAACAAACATCTGTGCCGAACGTACTGTACACATATATGACTTCTGACTCCTATGCCAGGCAATTGCATCATTTACGTAATAAGTCTTATAATTGACGAATTACCTAACGATGAGTTTGTGAAGGACTATCCATCCCTGCACAGATGCTGGTCTAACTGAGAAGGATTCTGTTACCTTGCATCCCTCAGCACGACTCTTCAATGAAGAAATGACCCCCAGATTTTTGCAGGGGGGTCCCTTCACCAAGGATCAGGGTGGCTGGCCCTGCAGTTCCTTCTAGTCTGCACCCACTCTCCCCTCCACCCTCTGCTGCAGGCCCCATGGGTCTCCCTGCCACACGCGCTCTGAACTGAGAACCTACAAAGCTAGGCGCAGGGATGTTCACCACTCCGACCAAAGTACTACTTCCCTGCTCTATCCGCAATCACCAATACATCACCCTTCTGAGGCCCATACCTTCCTACGTAGCTCTGACAGCAGGAAATGGCCAGGCCCACTTGCAGCCTCCGCTATTGTGTCAGACTGGCCCAATCCACTGAGTACACCCCAGGCTAATAGGGAAATAGCCTGGTTCACATAGCAGTGGAAGAGGGTAATCAGGAGAGAAATAGAATAGCACAGTCCTTGGCCTTTTAAAAAAATCAGATTGCTCCCAAAATCACCTCCTCACCTCTAAACTGTTGGAGAGGATGTGGGGCAAAGCTACCTTATCTTCTCCACCTCACATGAGCCAATGCAGAGCACTGGCACTGGGAAGAAGACGAGGTTACACCCTGGGCTGACATCCTCCATCCAGCCTCAGCAGATGGTGTTATCGGTGGGAACAAGTCAGCGCTGCACTGGCAGCTGCTGCACAGGGACGGTACAGTTGTGACGGAGCTGGACACTGTTGGGGGCAGGTGGCGCAGAGGACAGCACATCTCACCCAGACACTGCGTCTCGCATCCGAGGGCAGAAAACTGAATGTGATCAATGTGATAAGCCCTGACCTTGCTTGGAGGGAGCAATAAGATTGCTAGTCCTCCTCGTGCATCAGAGACCCGTTCCTGCCTTGCTTTACTCAGCCCCTCTCTGCACGTGCCGCAGGGGCAGTAGGAACAGCCCAAACTTTCTGCTCGCCTGCCTAGAAAAACCTTTTTGCTTCCACTGTACCATGACAGAGGGTTGTTAGGTGGCACAAAGGCTGCCAACATGCAGGGGATCCCCACTTGCCCCACAGCATGCACTGGGGCATTTATGAAAAGTTGGTTTTTGAGTGGCTGGGGAAGGTGCACAAGCTAATCTTGTAGCACTGAGACGATAAAAGCACACCCCAAAGAAATGAATAATTGAAGATCAGACCTAAATATTAATAGCACACCAGGGGAAGAGGACACTTACCTCAACTTTGCACTTAGCCCAGCTGCCTGTTCAGATATGAATAGAGATGTTCTCACAACTGCTCCAAGCTCCTTAAGCCCTCCCCTAAGTCTTTTGTGCTCTAAACTAATGCTACCTTCGTCTGAAATTCCCTAGCTCATTTTCTATTCAAATCTCAAGAGGAATGGTAGTGTTTATTGGAAGATGTGATCCAAATGCAAATGGAAGCAAAGGATGCTCTCCGAGTCCTCTCTCAGACACAGAGCAAAGAGAGGCATCTGTACAGGAGAGAGGACACGCGGAGCCATGCGAGGGGAATGGGAACATGGAGACCAGGGTACTTAGTGCAGCTTCTGAGACTCCCAAACCAGGATTGCTTAACATGATGTCCTTTCTTAAAAAGAAAGGCACTGAGATCGTGTGCTGGAAATTGCAGTACCTTGATGTCAGTGCTGCTGGAGGTAAGAGAGGAGATATCAAAGGTTCATGGTAGACCCTCTCCGGTCAGCTAGTGCTCCATTTTGGGAGATGTTTACAACAAGCAGGCTCCAGCGGGCCACAGTCCCATACCAGTTTTTAAGCACAAGTCATTCGCACTCAAAGGGGACGGGACTTTGCACTCGCTTAGCTGCTGGTCCATATAAACTGCCCCAGTGACTGCTGTAAGAAAGGCTCAGAGCTGAACACACACACAGGAGGGGAACTGACACCCGTCGCTGAGGGCTAAAGGCTCCAGGGACACCACGAGCCAAAGCAAGTCACTGACAGGTACGTGAAAAATGGACAAAGAATTTGATTCCATTTTTTTCCTCAAATGCCATCAAACATCATCCCTTTTCATATCACCTGGTGTACATGTGGTCTCCAAAGGGAAAACCACTCCGAGGGAGAAAATAGCTCAGCCGATGGTGACCAGCAGGAGCAAGGCAGCGAGGTGTCCCAGGAGCCCACGCTCCACGAGAGCCAACAATCAGCGGCGCTGAGGCAGGTGGCTCTGAGGACCGCACATCCCACCACAGCCACGTGAGGGACAGGCAGCCTTATGCCTGAGAAACCAAAACTCTCCTTCAGCCTTCACCAGCCCTCAGGCCTCTCTTACGATTTAGGCTGCTCTCTGTTGGCCCCTGTGTGTTCCTTCTACTTGCAGTCAGGATAACTTTCAGAGTTACACACACTAGCAACATTCGCCCCATGATCAGGCGCTGGGTTGGAGTCAGGAGATACAAGGGTCTGTCTTGACCCAGCCACTGGCTCGTTAGATGAATTTAGACCTCTGTCGTTATCATTTTTATGTGTGCAGTTTCTAAATCCTTCAATTGTCTTTCGTTCCATGTTTTACACTCTGCTATCTCAAATGGCCTGATGCGAACTTCTGACCAATTTCCAGGTTATCTCAATAATAATCTGAAAACAGACGCTTTGAGACAGCATTCCCAACGGTAATGGGGAGTCTCTTACCCAAATAAACTAAACTAAACTGAACTAAACTAAGTTTCTATTACACTTATTTAAATTCAAGTATCTCTCCTGGGTGGGGATTCAACTGGGAGTTTCTTTGAGGCACTCTCTTGAGTAAAGAAATTACTCCATTTACTGACTGCAACAGTATGTTTGCATCATCTCTGCCAAGAAAGCATTAGGTTGGGACAAAACACGTTTGGACTGAAGACTGCGTTTGGCTTGGTCAGCTGTGGGATGCAACGGATATTGTCATTTGTAGCTGACGCTCCTCTCAAGCACTGTTTTGAACTTTTTAGCGATGGCTGTCTGTCTGGAGATCAGGAAGCATTAGCCCAAAATGAGCCCCAAGAGAGCTGCAAGGTCAGAGGGACACTGACAGCCCAGCCAATATTCAGAGGAGCCAGTTCAGCCCCAGCTGTGTGCACTGTATTTCAGTGGACTGAACCCAGACATGAAGGTCCTGCACCCAATGTTCTGCAGGTAGGTGTTTGAGCATTTTACTTTCAAAAGAGCTGCTCAGCGTTTGGAGAGACCAGTGTGGTTTGCTCTGCCTCCAGAGGGACCATTTAGGAGTAAAGGAGAAAAGGAAATCAAGCTTCCTCTAATCGCAGCCCTACCCCGAGCAGCCAAGAGAAGAGGGACAATAGCACTGACCAACTCGTCCATTAGCTAAGCCTTCAGCAGGCTCATTCAATACATATCTCCCTCCAACCCCACATCACATCCCCATACCCCACACCAGGACATCACTTTCAAACCCATGTGCTGTGAGCTGATGCCGGCTGGCTGTCCTGTGTGTCAAACCACTGTACCTCTGTCTCCTACAGCTCTTCAGCATGGAGCTGCAGCCTCGGCCGTCAAAACCCTTCCTTCTCAGGGAGCAACACAGAGAAACTATAGGAAACAGGAGGCCTTTTACAGGGTCAGAATGGCAATTCCTATTTCTTTCTGACGCTAGCCTGTGCCAGACAACCATCACTCTACTGCAGCGTGGAAACAAACGGGTCTTTGAACATCTGCCACATCCCAAATTTAGAACAATTTTTAACAAGCTGGAAAGAGCAAAATAAACAGCACATGATCTGAGAAGCTTCCCATTCTTGACAGTGTCCCCAGAGGTGGTGGGAAGCCGAGAAGATAGCTCCTTGCTTTAATTGCTCCACTGAAATTCTTCCAGCCTGCTACACAACTGTTAATAGGCAACTTAATTAAGCACTAACCCAGTTCATATTTCTACCCTCCAGAGGCTCTTGTTTCATTTTTTTTTTCTTATTACAGCCAAAGTCATAGGGAGTTTTGTCCTAATCATGTAAAACAAGCTGAGGGCAGTGACATGAGGCAACTTATTTAACTCCTGGTCTCCAGACACCTCAGCCAAGCGCCCAGGCCTGCACTTTCTCCCCTAAAAAGCAGACTTAAGGAAATGATTTCTGGCAGGAAGGGGTCCTGCTGCCCTTGTTTGAACGGAACAGCTCAAGGCAGGTTACTTCCCACCAGGCAGGAAAAGGGAGCAGGGAGCAGACCTAGGACTCTGTGAATTAGGTGTGAATTGCTACAAGGAACCATGAATAAATGGCAAAATCTGTAGCACCAGAAGTCTATTCATCCCCACTGAGTGCCAAAAGGAGCTGGTGTCACACAAAAACAGTCCCTCTGCAGGCACCAGGTGCAAACACATTGATGTGTTTTAGGCAGTAGCCTGAATGGGTATGTAGCCTCATCTAACTCCTCATCAACATCTTCCAAGATGCAGGCTTGCTCCACACAGTCCTCAGCCACGCACTGCCCAGAGGACAGTCTTCCACAGGCCCCGCAGGACAGACAGAAAATAAGTTGCTTTCAAAGGAAAGGTGTCATTTCCTCTAAGCTGGTTCCCAAGAAAGCTTTAACATTTGGCTGCTCCAACTGCCTGATTCACACTATCACTATCCCTTAACGGAAACCACAGGAATAAGCGTCTATGCTCCACAACGCACCCTGGCCTCTGATTGTTACAGGGCAACTAATTTACTGTAGGCGGCTTAAATGTCCAACTGGTTTTGATCGAGTTTGCTGAGGAGGTCCTAAACAATGATGTTCTCAGAAGCTTTCTTTTCCTTTTCTAAGATCTGCTAGGTTAAATCAAAACTTGCTCCAATAGCTGCCACAGGAAGTGATGGGTTTAATAGTCATTTGAACAAATAGTGGAGTTTCCCTTACAGGTGAGTTATGAGCCGTTTAAGTTAAAGAACAACTGCATTTTACTGCTGCCAAGCACACTTAAGGTAATGCCCACAGATTGAGGAAGGAGAGGTGACTACTGAGAAGCCAACCAATCACCCAGGTTATGGAGGGAGTGAGCATTTGTTGCTTGTGATAAATGAACATGAATCCTTCTACTCAAGGAGAAATAGTCTTATTTGTCTCAAAAGCCTCGTACACCAACAGGCACATTGCCAACGCACACATCATGATTCATGACTGAATAGTGAAGTTGATGTGGATTTTCCCCACTGAAAAATAGGGTCTGTCTCCCGCTGTAACGTTTAACTTCATAGCCCTCAAACACAGTAATAGCAGAGCTGGAGATTTCTGGGACAAACGCTACCAAACAGAGCTGGGCAGGAGACCGAGCAAGTGAAACGCTCTGGCAACATAAATTGGGTCAGCCACACTGACCTCGGGTACAGTGTGTATCCGCTGAGGTCCTGGCCCAATGAGTAGAAAGTGAGGCGTGTGGTGGTGAAATAAAATTACCCCCCGAGCTCCCTGCACTGAATGAAGTGATACAACTGGACAGGCTTATTCCAGCAACCACCTTTTGGCTGTATAAAGAGCAGAAATCTGCCTTGCAGCATCTAAGTGGTAGACACTCACTGGGTTAAAAAACTGTAAAATTTAATGGCTTTCAGATAGACCACTAAGTGTTTTCCTATTGAAAATGCCTCCTCCCCCCTACACCAAAAAAAGGCTTTCATAAGAAACAAAGAAAATAAAAAAAAACATTCAAATAAAATGACAACTTTCACACAAACCACTCATTCCATGGTCATTTCTGTAGCATCTTTACTTTAAAATAAAACCCAAACCTGACAGAAATTTGCCTACCATTCACTCTATTCCTTGCTCCTCTCTTCCTTATTTTTTTCCTTCCTTCAGGAGCAGGGAAGGGAGAGACCATCCAGAAAGAACAGCCACTGAAGGAATAAATCAAAAACCTGGAGGAAAAAAAAATGCCAGCTTTAATTTCCATGGGAGACCTGAAGTGAGAATCCTTGCGTGAGAATAAACCTACCCAGGCTGGGACTTTGCCAGGACATCCAGGACACCACCCTTGGGAACACCTGCAGTCATTAGGCTCTGGACACCCACTTGTCAGCAGTATAGTACCTGGGGGCCTACGCTGACCGGCAGAGTTGTCTGCTTAAACTTCCACAGTCATCCTGGAAAGCAGCTGCTTTCTTGCCTTAGAAATCTACACAACTGTTAAGCTTACGCAGCCTGATGAGGCTCTATGGCTTCAGGCATTCAACTGGTAACTCCCTGATCACTCATCCTCGCTGCATGCAAGTTGATTTTACTGGAAAAGTCCCATTTTGTCACTGTACAACCTGTTCAGTAACCCTCTGCACATTTTTTGATCCTGCAGCACAGGCAGTACCTAGAGAGGCAATAAGCATCCTTGGAGGAAGTGTTTTCCCTGTTCCTTTTTAGCAGATGACACATATCAACCAATCCATGGTTTCTCATGGGAATGTAACCCTCATTTCCCATAGACACAGCCAAGATGAAAAATAATACACGCAAGCGGTGGCAGGAAATCACTTGGATATTTAAATACATATTCTAGGAGTGCGAAAGAGAACTTTTAAAGTGCTGATTGCACTCTTGTTTTTACACATCCTTGGATAATATAACTAGAAGGTCAGGCAACCTAATTTCCTAGAAAGTTTCTCTTCTCAAATAGTGCCTGTTTTAGCTCCATGATACTATCTCCACTTTCCAAAACTCAAGGGAAATATTAAATGGCATGAAGTTGACAGAGATTAGTATTTCCGTCTTAGAATTTCTTGGGGAAAAAAAAAAATCATGAAAATTTCTATTTGCATAGAGCATTGCTTTAAAAGATCAGGCAGCTGAGTGGCTGTGACCTGATTGCACCTTTTAAACTCTAAACTGAGCCATAGTTTGATCAAAAGGCTTCCAATGTAAATATAAAAACGGGTGCTTCTTTTAGTGAATATATTCACTTATAGCATCATTTAACATTACAGGCAATGCTCTGATTTGCCTGCACACAGTAACTTTTCAGAGGAAAGGCAGACCACAAGACTGCGGAGCAAAGAATTCTCCTTCCTGTGTGAAAATGGGTGGAAGACTCTCCTATACACGTTTAAGTTGTAGTAGTTTACTTAACCACTAGATGTCTTCGTGCACTGTCTAGCAGTCCAGAGCACCGCCCTTGGTGACCAAGGGCAGACGCATCTTGAGCCAAAGCAGCACCAAGGCCTTTTGTCCACGGTATGCAGTATTTTTTACTTTGTAATTGCCATGTGTCCAGGAAAAACTGAAATTCTATGATACTGTCCACTTATCCTGCACTGCCAAGAGCTATGCAGGTATACTGCAAGCTACCACAAGAAACAGCAGTACTAGCCTGAGTGCTCTGCACGCATAACCCTCTGCTGTGTCACTACAGCCCTTCTGTGACCTGTCACAAAGCCTAGGCAGAACTAATGACTCCCATGAGGCTTTTCCATAACCTCTGCCCAACTCCAAGCACATAGCAGTTCTGCACACATTCCTCACTGGCTGGCTGCATACGTGCCATTGTCTGGTCCTGTGCGTTTACTATGCCTTTCTTCAGGCTGGCTAACCCAATGCATCACTGACTACAAAAGAAGGCAGACGGAGCAAATAAGGGGTTGGAAACTTTTATTCAGTGATCAGCCCTGCTGCGTGGGTAGCATATGAGCAACTGGAACCCAAGTATGTAAAAATACTGAGTTTTCACAGTGAAAAAAATCAGACAGTATAAAATATTCCAGTATTGTCTCTTAGCGTCATTATTTCAATAAGACACCCGTTTCAAAGGCAATATGCTTCTTTATTTTGTATGTTTTCTATTTCCCTTCCCTTCCCCCCCCCCCCCAAAAAAAAAAGTGTTCAGACAGGAACCCTCCTTACTTCCACACAAGGATAGGGGGAGAAACTAAAGGAAATCCCTCTCCTGATTTCAAAAACTTATTCAAGAATGTTCTCCCAGTGGCACTGAGATCATTACAACACCACGTGGCCCGAATGTTTCACTGGAGATGACCGCGACGCTACTGAACTTTGAGGGGCTCCGTCTCCCGAACCAGCCACTGAAGAGCTTCGTGTCGGCCTTGCCTCTCCAATTCTGCTCCAATTACTTCCCTGCATTTCTGGTGGTAGTCATTCACCCAGTTACACTAGAGAAAACAAAGGGCACGACATTCAGTATACATGGGAAGAGTTGGTACCCTTATAAGTTACAAGCACAGCAACATCTTTGGCTCTCATGAACAGCCAGAGACATTCATATGCCATTAACCTCTCTATGATCAGGCTGTTTGGCTCTTGGTATAAGTTCTTGTTCCAGAAAGACAGGCTTCTGATCTACGGAAATGACTTGTTAATTTGATGGGGTGGGAACTGAAGCAATTAGACCCACGTTTTCAGAGGAGTTAAGGTTCAGTGAGACTGAAGTGCCTTAAGTCTTTGCAAATCACTGCCTCTAGCAAGCCAGAATAACTACCTTGCAATTGTCTAGTAACAGCTTTGCAGATTTGTAATTCTGAACAGAGCAATCCTGAGACAGAAGTTGCCCTACTGATCTGAACAGGCATCCTTAAGGTTGATCTTGGTACACCTCACGGTACTCTTCAGAAAAGGAAATGCAAATAGGATCATCATTCAGAGAAGGAGGATGGGTTGAGGCAAAGCAGAGAGAGTGCTAGAAAAGCAGGATCAAACTGAGCCAGGGTGAAGGTAGAGGGAGACCCAAAACAAAAGCTTAGGGAATGAAGCTACTCAGGCGATTAACACAACTAAGCAAATATCATTGATGTCTGCTCACATGTCCTGCAGAGCACGGCATGATTGAATGGGATTGGTCACAAGTAGAGAGTGACAGCAACACAGGACAGTCATTAGTACAAGTTTCTGGGGAGAGAGCATGATAGACTGACAGGAGCAAATAAAGGCAGCAGTAGAAAGAGAGGAGAAGAGTGAACATTACATATGATGTCAAAGAAACTACCAAAGCAACATCATCAGAGCAGTCCCAGCAGACTTTATCACAGAATAATGACCTCTGGAGGTCATCCAGTTCACTCTCCCACCCAAAACTGGGCCACGTTTAAGATTAAGTCGGAGGCCAAACTGGAACAGAGGCCAGCGACTATCATACACTAGAACCAGCTCGTTCTGCTCTGTTTAATAAAAGGCAGTGCAAACCTACTGTTTCCTCTTACCTCTTTTTGTGTAAGCAAGTTTACATCAATCATTTTCGTCTGGATTGGAACGAGGGTTAAAGGTTCAAAAGTCAGGCTCCCTCTGTTTTTGAAATTATACTGCAGCAGAAAGACAAAAGGGGTCATTAGTTCTTAGAAACCGTCCTTGCCAGATCACACTTGCTCTTCAGTTCTTCATGTCACAGGCCACTAAAGAACAACCCTTGTAAGAATTGTATCAGAAGGTAGCAACTTGTAATTACTTTTTTCTGGATATTTCAAGCAATACAAACCATAGTAATTTCCTTCAATAGTAGTTTTTAAAAGGCCGTTTCCCACATCACAACCTGAAGGGACTAGGCTTGATGACCATATGGCCATTTCCAGTTTCACATTTCTGAAAGTATATCCCACCCAGGCTTGCACCTATTATGTCAAAATCTGACTTTGGTGTTGGTTCTACTGCTACTGGGGGCTCTCAGTCAGAGAGGTAAATCCCCACTTGAGGGGATACTCTACTCTACTCTGCAATGCATTACACTACACTACATTAAAGATGATTCTGCTCTTGGATATCCTGAGAGAAAATTTAAAAAAAACAAAAACAAAAAACTCCTCTCTCATATCAATTTCAACCTATGGAAACTCTGCAGAAGCAGAACTGTCTTTGATGTCTCTGTTAACGGGGGAGACTTAGAATCAGTCTTCACTATTTCAGGGTTTTTGAGAGCAACACCCATGAGTAGCCTTTAACTGTCTGCAGCACAGTCACACCTGAAGTTCCAGTACTTTTAAGTTTTACAACCACTGACGCATGGAGAAAAGTACAACTCGAGCAGGTCATTCACCTTGGTTTCAGCAGGGATCACAAGGACGACATTTTCTATTCGGATCCCAAAAGACCCATCTTCATAATAGCCAGGTTCTGCAGAAACAGATGATAAACAGCTAAGCCACACAGAGACACTGTAAATATTTATTCCCTATGGGCAAACTTCCTCTCTAAGGTTTTGGTCCACTGGGGTCACTAAACAATCTTGACATCAGGCATCCAGAGAGGCAAACAAATTTCTGACTCTACTTAATCTGCACAAAAGCCCCAAGCAAGGTGACAGCAAAAGTCCTCAACGAGAGAGGAGAAACCAGACAGATAGAAGGAGGCTCTGTGAGCTCGAGGGCTAAATCAAGGGTGAGCACAGTACATGTGTTCACAGTACCAAAAATCTCAGAAAAAATTAATGTCTTTAAAATAACTGTTTTGGGGGGGACCTTCCTGTCAGAGAGGGTGCTCTCCTGGGCTTCACTTTTCTCACTGGAAGGACTTTGCAGGCCTGAAGGAATCTAAGTCTCTCAGCAAGCCCTGCTAGGTAGTTAACGTACTGCTGAAGAAGTAAGGCACAGAGATATCTAACAGCTGCCTCCAACAGCCCACAGCAAAGACAGGATTAGCTCCTGAAAGCCTAGTGTCTATCATGAACTGTAGCCAGCTCTTCCACTGCAGAATGGGAGGCTGCATGGCAGAGCCAAGCTGGTCAGCAGCACAGCTTTGCTACAGTTTGCACTGTACAAAGCAGGGCGTGCGCCTTCAGCACCTGACTGCAAAGATGATTTATGGGAGGTAAAAGCCTTAACATCTGAAGGTCTTTTTCTAGAGAGCTTAAATGACAATGAAAGTGACAAAATGAGGAGGTAGGATCAGGGCTTGTGATCCCACCCTCCCATTCCACCACTGTCAGATTTATTCCCTCCACATCTTAAAAGCACACTCCCTTCCCCAATAGCCAGAGAGAAACACAAATACTAAATACCATCAGAGACAATCATGCCAGCCTCCAGGGGCTCGTCTGCAAAGGTTTTGTAGCTAATGCCACAAGGACCCTCATGTACGTTTAGGAAAGAGCCAACTCCATGTCCTGTTCCGTGCAGGTAATCCAAACCACAGTCCCACAAGGCAGAGCGGGCAAAGGAGTCTAGAAGGTGACCTGCAGGCCAAGGGGAAAAGAGAGATGTGGAGAGAGAACTTGATCAAGCAAGGCTCCCTCAGAGCTTCTGATAACCACACTGAGGGCTCAACCCTAGAGAACGTGAGGAAAATAAATAAATAACGTCATTGGTTTGTTACAAGTTACAGGAGACATGCTACCATACTCAGCAAGTCTGACGTTCAAGCCCAGACTCTCAGCTGGAGAATCCCTCTCCCTGTCCAGTTACACAGCTCTTCAAAATATGGCCTGCATCACAAACATTGCATTGCTGCTTACTCCACTGGGGTTTTCAGGAAAGGATCTAAGGGTTAGATGCCAACGGAGAATTCAGCAACTTTCTTAATGGCAGCTACGCTAAGTAAACCCAAAGTGGAAGACTGGACAATTGCATTTGGTGAACTAACCAGCCGGACTTCATGCTGGGACGCGCTCATTTCAGGTCGTTTCCACCTGAATGCAGAAAATTCCTACGTTTGTATGGGAACACTGGGCCCACATCTGCAATTTCTTTTGGGGTTTCTCATATCACTACCCAACTGCTTTACCCTCAGCTACCCCAGAATGCAAGTTGGGGGCAACTCTTCCCTGGCCAGGGAGAAAATACCTCTGCAACAAATTCACCAAGGAGGAATACATAACACAGCTTCTCCTGCACAGAATTAAAACATCTCCTTTGTGTGTCATAGTCCCATGCTGTTTGCTGATAAAAGAGATTACACATTAACTAGAAGAGAAGTAGGTAGTCCTTTTGAAGTTGGAAAGCAACCTCTCCCTTTGATAGAGCCATGAGTAAAGCATAAAGGCAATCTCAAAGCACAAAAAGACCACAGATGCGTTAGAGTGCAATTCAGTGGCTAAAGTCACCGCTATTCTGGAACTGGAGCACGTTGAACTCCCTTCAATTCCTCCCTACGTTTCAGCACCAGTTGCTGCTGAAAGAGAGGGAATCAGTAATCCAGAATGCAGTGACAGAAACAGACATGGAGAGCTACATCATCTGCCTAACACAGCCAGACTTGTCTACCATAATGCTGCTCTCAGACCACTTAATGGTTCTTCAGAGGTCACTGCTGTGGTCAAAACACCCCAAGACCTCCACCCCACCAACCTACCTTTGGTTCCATTTGGGAAGATGGCCGCACTCACAGCTATATGCCCCTTTAGGACATATGTGAAGCATTCCTGTCAAGGCAATATGTGCCATGAGTAAACAGGGAGAGATAAAACACTGCCCTCCCCAGAAACGGAAAGCAAAGCTACATTTTGCAGCAAATTGTGGAGAAGCTTGCAAGACTTGCTCATGCTCTCCTATGACTAGCGTGCCAAAGCAAAGCACGAGCAGAAAGAGTTTACATTACTCTAAGGATCTTTATCAGCTAATTATGGAGTGTGTGGCACAAACAGACTGCAGGTTTAGCAACAGGATATTCACTTGACCCATGATGACTGATTTTCTTCATGGCTATAGCTTTACTTCCCGAGAATACCCTACAGCATATTTCCATCCCAGAGTGAACTAATGATGAAATGAGTTTTAATTAAAGAAATGATTTTACATAAACCAAATTACATCGCTCAGTTCCCAACATGGACGTTCTTACAGCAGTCAGACTAGCTTTGGACATAGTAAGCTAGACACAAACCACTACAGCAAACCACTTGCACTAAACACTGAGTTTTATACTAAATTAAGCCACCTTAAGCCCAGGTTGGACAAGCCAAAAACGTGCATCTTCAGTCTGCTGATTTTATTACTTCTTGGAGAAGATGCGTCACTTTCCAGGTGAGAGGTGTGCGTCTTGAATTAAAGAATGATACCTCCCTATCTTATTGCACTTATATTTTGGAAATCTGAAGCCCGAGAGCTTCCTTTTTAGTCTTTACAAAAATGCTGTCACTTGTTTTATTATTTAATAAGTGATACTCCATAGATCCCTTTGACTATATGGCAGTAGAGCATGTTATTATTTTTTAAGCACCACAGTGACTGTTCAAGTACCTCTAATAACAAGGGTCAGATCACAAAACACACTGAAACGCTACGTTACCTTTTCATAGGCTGACGGCGTGCCAAAATGCATTGTCCTGGTCACATCTGTTGTGCCATCTCTTCCAAAGGCAAAGATACAGGATGCAAAATGATGGGGGGTGGGGGAGGAAAAAAGAGATTAAAGTGAAAAAGCACAGAAAAAGTCAGTCACACTGCAACAAACCAAACTAATGACTGGGTGAAGTTCTCTGCTCTGTGCTATGCAAAGCACTGATGATATAACACTTCCTAATCCTAAAAATTCCTGCACTCATCCCAGATGCAACAACAGTCATTTACAATTCAGAACATTAACTTTCAACCATAAGAATCCCACAGCTCTTCTCAAATTAGAATCTAGACTGCTTGTAAAAGTGAAGCTAATTTGCGGATCGGCAACAGGCACTGCCCATTGAGAATAGGACACAGAAGGTCAAGTTTAGTCTACTTGCATTAAAAGAAGATTCTTTAGCAGCTTAAAATATGCATGTATGTATACATACATGTATGTATGTATACATATATGCACATAAATGATGGCTGTCAGCTCTGGAAAAGCAAGTATAAGTGGGCTGAGTGTCTTTTTCACCCTCAGGATGCCTTGTACTAAAATTTCTAGAAGTTTTCCATCATTTCGATGGGGGCTAGTCTGAGACAGAGAACGGCCCTAAGTTCCTTCTACGAATATCATTTTGTGCCTGGCGTCAAAAACACAGAGGGCCTTGAAATAAATAAGTTTCCTTTGAAACATTAATTCCTGTGCCTATGCTCTTCGCCAGCGCGCACACACACCACAGTCACAAAGAACTCACGGTTTAACTTCTCAGCAGTGACAAGCTGAGCATCCCTGTCACAGCGCTGTGGTAAATGCCACTGATGTCCAGCTTAAGCCTTATTCAAGGGGCTGCTTTTCATAGTGGCACTAAGGAAATCATTAATTAGGCCATCAGAGGGGCAATAAAAGATCTCATTGTAAAAATCTTATCAAAGGATGTTTGCACGGTTCCTCTTCAAAGCTCTTCCTGACTGACATAACAAAAAGGCATAGCTCTAAAGACAAAGCTCACAGCTCTAAAGACAAAGCTCATCTCAAAGAAGCAGTCAGGTCCACCCCACATCTTTCTGAACAAACCATTCCTAATCTACTTACACTGGTTAAAAATATCACTTTTATTTTGAGGAGTCAGAGCTCCACCATAAACATCCACAAAGATTGAGGCCACTAAATGGCGCTGAGTGAGCAGCCATGCTGCCTTCCCCAACATACCTCAGACTCAAGAGGCCACTGGGATGTGATATCCTGCCTCTGACCCTCCCTGGAAAGAGGGAGAGGGCTGTGCCCTCTCCACCATGCCTTTGCTCCACCTTGCTTTGGCCTCAAAAATCAGTCAAATTGGCACCCTTTGCCCACACCTTGGCAGGGTGGGTACTCTACTCAGCTGTGCAGGATGCTGTGTAGGCAGCCCAAGGATAAACCAGGGCAGCCAGGCCTGCAGCTTTAACACCAACGCATCAGTGAACAGAGCTGGGACAGACAGAAACACACACCATCAGTCAGAGAACGGCCATCAGCAACGCTGGTGCTGGGACTCGGAGAGGAACTACACTTTTAAATCCTGTTCCCTACCCCAGAGAAGGCTTGTCTGCTACCCTGAATCTAGCTCAAAACCTGCTGCCAGGAATCAGTCATCCAGTGCTTTCGCTGCAAAATCTGCCAGGCAGAAATCCACCTCTGCATGCTCTGCCACCTCCAGCAATAAGGGCCAGTTCAGTTCCATGTGTCTATGAGAACCACCAATTCATTTCATAACAAAGCACTGATGTGCCACCTCTATCTAGTTCAGAGATCTCAAAACTAGAGTCAAACCACACCCATCTAGACCTCCCCAATGCTTAAGTAGGCCCATGCAGGTTTCTTCCAACAGCTATATTCAAAATCCCACAAACACCTTTCAGAGAAGGTACAATACACAGGCTCTCTGTGAAATGGCACTCATAAAACCACTCAGTTAGCCTCTATGTGTTGCTGTGCTTGCCAGAGCAAGTATGAGCTGACCCGGCAGGGTGGTCCCTAGGAGCAGAAAAAGCAGTGTTTTCAGCACCATTTAACCCACTCACTTGTACTGCGCTCCCGAGTCCAGGAGGTAGATTTCATTCACAGACAGGGTTCTGTTGGTCTCAGGAACTGGCCTGTTCAATTAAACACAGTTATTTGTTCCATAGTTTTAAGGTCTCCAGCCCAAGTCTGTGGCCCAAAAACCAGGCTAACTGCATGTTTGAATGTGTCAGCTTTCATTTCTTGTAGCAGCAATGGAAATACCACACACGCTGAGCCAGGGATCATAGTGAAGAGTGTATTTGTCTACAGTAAATAAAACTAAGGTGCAGAGAATAGTTTTACTGCTTCCAGGAAAACCCTCAACACCTGCTGCTGAACTTATTTCAGTGCAGTTTGCGCTCTACCCTCAACCTTCCCCCACCAAAATAGCCCTTCTTTATGCCTCTGAGCAGACACACATCCCTCTTGATTTCCAGAGCTAGCAATTGTCCCACAGCACAGAGAGACCAAGTCAAGCCCATCTTCAGGTCGGCCAGTCAGCCTGTGGTGGATGCAACAAGGGAAACAAAAAAAAGCTCTTCACAGACATAAAAGCTTTTAGACTGAGTTGAGCCAGGGATTAAATCTCTGTTCCAACACAGATGTTACCTATACTCTTAACTGTTTTGAGCTGAGTCAGTCACCACTTCGGACAGATAGTCCCTCAGTGGTCACAAAGGACAGAGAAGACCAGCATCATAATAAATGCATTCCAGCCAGCAGAGCAAGTTGTTTTTAAACGTAATCAGTGCGGAAGCTCTTGTGGAATAGAGCAAGATGGCAACTGACAGCAATTACATCTCTCTGTTGTACTCTGCTGTGACTCCACAGAGAAGCTACAGAGCTCATCCCAGGTACACTTGGTGAAGGACAAAAGGAGAAGCTGTTTCTCTTACTTGTAGTGAATGATGGCTCCATTTGGACCTGTGCTTGATATGGTAGCAAAACTCAATTCAACAAAGTCTTCCTGTTGGCTGAAAGAAGCATAGACGAGAGGAGCATATTAGCCAGCTGGGGCGTCCCAGCAAATGGCAAGCAGGAGAAGAGTCCTGGTAAATACTGCAACTTTATCTTCATGCTCTATTTCACTTCACCTTAGCCTCCCCCTAGCCCTGAAAGCCATTTAGGCAAGCAACACTCAGGTAGGAGAACCGTGCAGATCCAAACTCTATCTTCCCAATCACATAAAAACTTGCTTTCTATCTCTATCCACTCCTTATCAGTAGGAAGTTCACCACCCAGACTACCCAGGGAAGAGATGGCCTAAACAATTTCTTCTTTGTTATTTATGTACTCATAGGTGATTTTAGATTGAGATACACGTGGAATAGCTCAATACAAATGATGCTCACTGTTCAATCAGAGGAAGGGGAAATTAAACTCTTCCAAGGTAAGAGAGCAACTGTCTCATATTCAAGCGTCCTAACCCACAGCACCCTTCAATGCTATCTCATAGGGCAAGCAGGTAGGACCCTGTGGGCTGGGACTTGTACCTCCTAAGAAAACCCTTTCTTCCCCAACTCTTTCAAGTGTTCAAAAAAATCCTGGCGTAATGGTTTGTCCTCGAGTAAAATACCTCTGACAGTGAGCTGGATTTCTAAAGAGTAAAATAAAAACCAAAGGATTAAAAAAAAAAAACAAAAAACAAAAAAACACACCACATCCACAGACCCAGAATGCTACTGCCTCACATGGGATTTATTTTTTTACCTGCGAAACTCCTCTGCTTTGTCTGCAGCAATTATTTCTGTCACTGTTCCCTTTGGAACCTAGGGGACAAAGATTTAGGCTGAATTAGCATGCCAACAAGCAAAGGAAATGCTATATGCGCAGAGAAGGCCCAACGCTTAAGCATTATAAAACCCAATCCTGAAGTGGCTGCTTTCCAGATTTTCTGTCCTCATTCCCCAATGAGGACAAACAAAACTCAGCAGTACTGTGCAGAGCGTAATGAGAAGCAGGAAGCAGAACTGGTCAGGGCAGGATTGCTGAACCCTGTTTGGGGAACAATAGGCAAGCACAGAAGTAGCATCTTATATGGCAGCATCTTTTCACAGAGTCACATTATACCAGATTTAAACTGTTCTCTCTGTTTCAACAGTCTGTGGTATTAGCTGAAATCTGCTTTTATTCAGAGATAGAAGCACTTGGAGGGGAGCGGGAGGAAGGAGGGGCATGGAATTTTATCTTAGGTGTTTGGCAAATTAAAACCTTTTACACATATTGCTGAACCGACTTCCCCAGGACTGGACAACAGGCAAGTGGGAGCCAGAGACAGGTCTCGTATCCCCCAAGGCAGATTTCTTGAGGTACTCAGGTAAAAAGGCACCTTCTGGAAGTCACCAAAGCATCTTCATAGGTAAAGTCAATGGGCTCAGACATTCAGTAGCACAGAAGGAACACAGCTTAGTAAGGTACTGTGTAATATGTGTAATACTTCCTTCACTACACACTCCTAACCCAGAGCAAACATGAGCAATTTGATTTATCCCATCTTTACTGCACATAAGCCTGCGGGCACATCTCCATTCATAAACTGCACAAGACTGAATATTCTGAGAATACTCTAGCAATACTGCACTAAACTGGACATTATTTCATAATGTACACTACCAAACCAGCACAGGACAGTATTAAGGCTATATTAAGTCTGTTCCGGTTATTCCTCAGCTGCTCTGGTTTTGGTCTGTACAGAATAAGTGGGAATATGTTTTCAAAGAAATTAATTCAGCCTTGGATGGAAGCACAGTCAAAACCCCTCAAATCAAATAAACAAATAAACCAACTCCAGATGTTCCCCCTGTCTTAGCACAGGCACTACAAAAATATCAAAAGGTTTGTGCTTATGAAGAATTCTACTTAGCAATAAAACCTCCAGGTTAAAAATAATAATACACTACCTCCTTCTCCAGCCAGTTAAAGAGCTCACATAGGGCAACAGCATCTTTGATCTGTGTTAAAATAGGCACAAAAAAAGAGAATTGAGAACAAATAAGATTTGTAAAGTCTCAGTAGAAACACTGCTTTTAATGCAAAGCAGTTAGACCTGCAAGCTTCAGAGAAACAAACTAGATGATGTAAGAGGTTTGTCCAGGTTTTGCATCTTGTAATTAATGCAAGCACTGGAAATTTATTAAAGCAATTAAATAAACATTAATAAAGACTTGCTGCTGGGAAGTCTCTCATCACAAAGGATTACCAAGTCCTCAGTAAGCATTGGCTTTACCCCACATATGACTCAAGTCTCTTCTGCTTCAACACAGAAAATCATCTTGTTTCTGATCATGGGAGATGCAGCCCATCTCAGCCTGCGACAAGGAAACATGCCCTTCAAGCACCGAGCCTCAGAGGCACCATATTGTCTCTGCCACACAATCTCTGGCTTCTCTCCTGCCCGATGGCCTCCTGCTTCCCCCTCTCTTTTTCCTTTTTTTCTAAGGGGCAACAAGCAGGAGATAAACATACAAGAGCGAGGCATAATTTCTCCTACAGGTGGCAGAAAAAAAAAGTGTCTGTGCTCAGTACAAGTATTTCAACTCTTCCATAACTGATAAGGAGGGAAACAAAAGCACTGAATTAGAAAGCAGCAGATCCCAAGGAACCAGCAGCAAACATGGGGCAAGCCCAGAATTGCCAGCCCTGCTCCAACTGGCACATTTCTCATGTTGTAAAACCTGCTGCTTGAAAAGTAACAGGAAATAAGCAAGAGAAATTTTCAGCCCCACTGTGAAACTGTTACATAGGTTGCTTCTTTTCCGGAAAAATATGCAACTCTCCTGGGAAATCAACACCATTTTCAGAGTGTCATGATGATGATGCAAAAACAGAGCACTTTCAGGACACTGGCTGCTTCTGAATATCTTGGCCTGTGTTTTGCATCACGTGTCAAAGAATTTCTCTATGTTCTTTCTGCATTTATTCAGGTGATAACAATTTAAAGACTCCACTGAGAAAAAGAACAGCACTTAGCAAAGTGAGAGAACATCCCTTCAAGGGCTCACACTAACACTTCCAAGTCTAAGCAATCCCCAACAGAGCAAGTTTGGTTACTCGCACTACTACCTGTGGTGTTCTTCGCTCCAAAGGAGTGCTGAAGAAGCAAAAAACCCGCTTCAACAGCAGTAGATGTTCAACAGAAGGCTAGAAGAGGTAAAACATTTTTTACTCTGTCATCCAAATATTTGCTTTTTAATCCAAAACGCTGCAGCTTAAAGGAAAACGTAATCTCGTTCCCTGGATGCAAAGCAAACCTCTTGCCACACAGAAGGAGGCTCTTGAGGCTTTACTTACATGTGCTCTTCTCATGCCGTCTGTTTCTGATGCATTCTTCACAGCTTTTGCAATACAGATGGGGGTATATGGGGTGAGGTATCGGTAAGCCTGCAGCAGGAGGACAGGGATTACACGTGGATTAGTCAAACAACATAATCCTAGAAGTTTAATAACCCAGCCTGGCCACAATTTGCACTTCGGCAGTCCCTCTAAACCTTCAGCACTGTGGGATACTAGTTACCAGGAGTTAGCTAAGTACACTGGGGAATAAAGAGGAGTAGTGCCTGCCTGTAGGAGATGGAGTCATCAGGGGAATCCACGGAACTAGAGTGCCAACAGCACATCATAAAGCAGGGTCAAGATCTGAAAAGCCTGAATATCGTACCAGTGTCCAATCCATGGGTTTCCTCTTGGTGAAGTACATCTGAAGACCCAGAAACAGCAAAAAAGAAACACCAAACCTAAGGACTTCAGTGAAATTTAGGCTGTGGAAACATGGACTTAAAGAGTCACCTTGAGTTGTTACCTTACTGTCACCCTCACGCAACAACAGGCAAACAAACAGGCCCCAGCACCAAGCACTGGACTCAAACCTGGAGGCTCCCTTGGGCCCCAAGGGCTTAGCTCTTTCGGCACTTAGCACCCCCACTTCTAACAAGCATCAGCCCTGTCAAACACATCAAGAGCCAAAAAAACATGAAAGGCCACTGCAGAGCTCAGCTCCACATGCTGTCCTCTACTAAAAGAGGCATATCCCAGGGGTTGAGAAAAGCTTTTCCTGTGCCTGGATGGGGTGACCTTGCACTAGGCACTAGTAACTTATCCCTTACCACTGAACATTTCCCCTAGTTGTCAGCTGTCTATGTTAGCGGGAATGCATGGCTGGTCCTGAGCATCCCTTCAAAAACTTGCCATCTGAGGTAACTTGCCCAAGCTTTGTCACGCTCCGCAGAGGAAGGAATAAAAGCGAGGTCTTTTGCTCCAGTTCTCTGCTTGACCCATTATACTCTGGGGGGTAGGAAGGGCTCTTATACAAGCCCAGCCCAAGCTGCATGCTGTTTTCTTATTCTCAACGCACCAGCCTACAAATTAACGTCACCCACATACAGGATAGGCCTCTTGGACCTTCAGAGAAGACCTATTTCTCATAAATCCTAGAGACTTACAGTTTCCAGATTCTTAAAAATAGTAGGACAATTACACTACATTATGAAGAAACTGAAGTGCTAAAAAAGCCACAGGAAACTATCAAGAGTCAGGGCAGAATTTCTCCACAGTCAGATCTCTGTATTAGATTGGCTTGTCTTTCACAGATACTGCCCAGATCTATTAATCTGCAAAAAGCCTACTTACATGCAGTTGTAGGCAAATCTATAAAGGGGTTGCAGGTCTGTGTTTAATAATGTATTGGATTTTTGCCAACATCAATATTTGGCTTTGACGGAGACAGCAATAGACAGACTTCTAGCACTAGCATTCTTTAAAGTACCCTGGGGCCAGTTGCTCAGCTGCTGTAAAGCAGCATAGAGCTAGCAAAAAACACCCAGCACAAGGAACTCTGACTCTGCCACTGACTCACAGGGTGGTTTTTAACCAAGACTTTTCAGTTCTTCCCCTTCTGCTCCCACCGAGCAGAGCTCCTTAGGGTAGGGACTCTCCCCATGCGTACAGAGGGCACCCAGCACAGAAATGATTCAACATAAGTAAAGACTTCCAGCGCTACAGGGGTATCATGTAGTGTTGTATTAGTTGTAGTGTTGTAATCACTACAACTCATTACAGTCCTTTATCTAGGCCAGACCGGCTGTACTTTTCAATATGGATGCTCTGCATTACATCAGCTACAGCAACTTACCTAAACTGGTGTTAGTCCATTGACTCCAACTACAATACAACAAGGGGTATTTTACTCTGAAGTCAGAAGAGCCACAACATTTATCTTGGATGCTCCACAGCCTCTATGCTTTCTGCTACCCTGAATAAAAGGCAGTGGGCAAAATTTAAGCATTTTATGTTCAGAGGCCACTTGTACCTAGAAATGGATTGCTGCTTTCAGGAGGTTTAACACTGGACAGGGAAAAAAACTGTGTCCGTCCTGTTCATGTTCATGTCTTGAGAGTGGGTTTTTCAGTTTTTTTTTTTTTTTTTAACAAAAAACAAACAAACCAGCCATGCATGTCTCCCACAAGTCAGTGCAAAGGCACTGAGAGACACATTTTGCATTAAAGGGATATGCTGACAGCGACAGAACTTCTCAGCACTTTACTCTTTGGTTTTATTATCTGTCCCAGTGCTCCAAGTGCACTGAAGGTACCAAGGTATATAGCAAATATCATCACTGGAGAAAAGAAATTGCCATT